TCGGATAATGCTGGCTGAGTCCACCTGCGTTTTCTTTCTGTCTTTTCTGCATCTTTTGCATCATTCCAAGCTAAGCATCCCCTATACAACTATGCAACATGCACTCAGTCCACCTTTCGACAAATCACGTGACAAAATCATCCGTAGATCTCGCGTGGACGTCTTTCCTGTGGCGACAATAGACAGTAGTAGACCTTCATGGTACACTTCTCTCGTGTGTGTGTGTGTGTGTGTGTGTGTGTGTGTATTAGAGCCCTGTACCATCTTTATTATCTTTATCATCGAACGAGTTACTGTTCTATCCTAATGATGAAAACATTTTGCAACCTCCTTTTCCTGTCCCTCTCATACATCTCAAAGAATTATCTCCCCAACCTCCAGTTCTCCGACTTCATAGTAGTGGACATGCCATCTTCATGAGTGGCAAAAGTCATGAAGCTCCAAATTCTCACCTCAAAATACCCCCTTTTCTTAGTCCACTACATGTTTTTGATGTTCTCTCATAGGCGCAGATTTTTTTTTTTTTTTTTTTTTTTTTTTTATTGTCTAGAAACAAGGGAATATGATACAATATAAACACTACTTGGGCATGGCTATGTCGGCACTGATCTACAAACGTCTTATTCCTGATGGAGACACTTGGTTCGTGCGTTAATTTAAAAGTAGTGGCTCTGTACATCATAATCATGATAATAATAACAACGACAAAGATAAAATAAAATTATAGTCATAGTGATAATAATTACAATAATGATAATAGATATGATGATAATAATGATGATGATGATAATAATAATAACAATAATGATAATGATAACAATATAGTGATGATGAGGATGATGATAATGATGATGATAACAACAACATAAATAACAACAGTAATGATGAAAATGACAATGATGATGATAATGATGATAATAATAATAAAAAGAATAATGATAATAATAATGTTAATAAGGATAATAACAATAAGATGATAATAAAGACATTGATAACAATAATAACAATAAAAATAGTGATGATAATGATACACTAACAAAAGCAAAACAATAATGATAAGCATAATGATAAAAAGTATTAACTTTAAATTATGATAACAGCAGTGATAATGATAACAACAATAATAACAAGGATGGAAGTGAATAATGATTATAATACTAGAACTATACTGTAACAATAACAATAACATTAATTATAATAACCAGGATTATGATATTAACAATGATATGTGCAATGTAATACTAAAGATTATGACTACAAAAAGATCAAGAAGAATAATGCAATAATTATCTTACAAATAATAATATTAATAATATTAATAATGATAATGATACTAATAATGATAATGATAATAATGATAACACTAACAGTAATGATAATAATTATAACACTAACAGTAATGATAATTATTATAAGGCTGACTAACAATAATAATAATGATAATAATAACAATAATAGTAATAATAATAATGATGATGATGATGATGATAATCATGTCATACTTGAACAGTAATGATAATCAGAACGTTAGTAAAAGAAATAACATTAATTCCAATAATAAAAATTATAATGATATAAATAGTAATGGAAATTATAAAGGTAATGATTATAGAAAAAAACCGTAATCTGAGAATAAACTTTTTCATCATATTCTGCTGCTAGAGTGTTTAGAATCAGAAGAGAGAAAAAAAGGAAAAAAAGGAAGAAAAGAAAGAAAAGAAGAAAAGAAGAAAAGAAGAAAAGAAGAAAAAAATAATGTACACGTAATACTTTTATTAAGTAGAATATTGTTGTTGCTTCTCAAAACGTATTCGAAATGAACTTTAGTTGAACACCGAATACATGTGCGCATGTATACATAGGCGCTTTTAGTTACTTAACCTACTTTCGCATTCTTTGGCATAGGACAGATATACACCTATATACACTGCAATATCATAGGTATGGCATTCCTTTGAAAATATAGACATAACCCCGTTGTAAGCCTCCCTATAAGAACACCAAAATAACACTTTTTAGAGGGAAACTTTAGGATAGGTAACTCTTGTTAAATTCATGCGACGTACGGTAATCATGACACATGTGTAGCGATGCACAGGTTGAGAACCACTGCTCAGGATCTGTACCTAAGCATCTTGTGTTTCCCTTCTGTACCATATGATTAATCACGTAAGGAATAACAATGATTTGACCGTATCACCTGTCGTTTTGTGGTAGATGTACGATAAAGAATAACCCCATTTCTTTATCGCGAGATCTGGAACAAAAAACAAACAATAAACAGGTGCGAGTTCACCCACGTACTGTAAGACAAAATAAACATTTAAAATACGACCAAAGCGTAAAAAAATGGGTGAGAAACATTTCCTTGAAATTAGTAACATTACTACCACATTGGCGCAGGCCGCATATTCCCCTAGTTGGCAACTGCAGCCTGCCCGTGCGTCGGCTAGCAACCATTCCCTAACAACGGCGACTCCTAAACAACATAGCCCCAGCG